CCTCCAGTTCCATCCATTTTCCTGCAAACGCCATAATTTTGTTAATCTTTACAGCTAAATGGAATTCCATTGTGGCTCTGTGGCATGTGGACATGGCCTCCGAGGAGTCCTTCCCTTTGGGTGTGCACCCAGGAGTGGCATAGCTAGAGATAGTTCTGGTTTTAGATTTTTGGAGGAACCTTGATAATGATTTCATAGCATCTGCACCAGTTTCTATTTCCAGTAGCACTATGAAGAGTCCCACAATTTCCTTCCTTCCTTCCTTCCTTCCTTCCTTCCTTCCTTCCTTCCTTCCTTCCTTCCTTCCTTCCTTCCTTTTTTTTCTGAGACAGGGTTTCTCTTTGTTAGCCTTGGCTCTCCTGGACTAACTTTGAGGACCAGGCTGGCCTTGAAACTCATTCACAGCGATCTGCCTGCCTCTGCCTCCCAAACTGCTGGGACTACAGGAGAGCACTACCTTGCCTGGCCTCACCATTTTTTTTTCTTTCAAATGCCCCCCTTTTTATCAGAAGGTTTGTAAGAGGAACTTGGTTATATGTAGAGCTAGCTATGCAACAGAGATTGATAAACTTCATGTACTATTTAACTTTCACTTGCGCACATCAAATGCTAAACCAAAACAAAATGTGTTTGTGGAGCACGTAACCTAATCTTTCGTATTTATCAGCATGCCACGCTGTACTGCAAGCCTGAGCTGGCTTCCCAAAACACGACTTTTAGCATTGCATCATCCTCCATGGCCTGGATTCATCTCCTGTTTCATCTTCTGCTCAGATTCCAGTCTGGCCTGAGCCTTCCTTCCATCCTCTCTGTCTGCTCAGCCTCTGATTCCTGGCAGGCCTTTGCTCTCCTGTCTTCCAAAAAGCCACTGCCTGGCTCAGCTTTCAGCTTGCTTAGCTGAGTTAGTACTTAGCAAGTACCTGCCCATTCTTTCTAGAACGGTCTACCTTTTGTGTTTTTTTTTCCCCAATAACTTCATTTCTTTATACCTGTATATATTCTTTATGTTTTATATCCTTTGTAATTTTTGTAATTTTCTCTCTCTTTTTTTTTTTTTAAACAGGTCTCACTTCTGCCTCCCAAGTGCTGGGATTAAAGGTGTGCACCACTTCAGAGGCCTGTTTTCTATGTTGGGGATTGGAGTCAAGGTCTATGCACTTTCTGTAATCACAAATCCTGCTTCACCAAAGATCCCTTTCTTTTAGCATCCCAACAGATACAGTTTCCTTAAGCATTTCTATTCACTGACTTGCAGAATAACGTATGCTGTGTAGATTTGAGTCTGTGTATCATTTATTTATTTATTTGAGACAGGCTGTCTCTGTGTAGCCCTGGCCCTCTTGGAACTCTGTAGAGCAGGCTGGTGTTGGCCTTCAGTTCACAGAGAGCCTTGTCTGTTACCATTTAGTTGCTGAGTTCCAGAAGTCACACTGTGAACATACGCACAATTATTTTTCTAAAGGGGAAAACTTAATCAAATTATTTGATGTTTTAATAAGCTCTCAGCTCCTCTAGGGAAAGCTGTGCTGCATTAAGCCTTTTCAGTCCAGCTCCTCTTATTGACATTGTGGGGGGGGGGGTGGACTGTGGACTTGTTGATCTTTCTTTCTTTCTTCCTTCCTTCCTTTCTTTCTTTCTTTTTCTTTCTTTCTTTCTTTCTTTCTTTCTTTCTTTCTTTCTTTCTTCCTTTCTCTTTCTTCCTTTCTTTCTTCTTTCTTTCTTCCTTCCTTCCTTCCTTCCTTCCTTCCTTCCTTCCTTCCTTTCTTTCTTTCTTTCTTTCTTTCTTTCTTTTCTCTCTTTCGTGTTTTTGTTTTCAAGACAGGGTTTCTCTGTGTACTACTGGCTGTCCTGGACTCACTTTGTAGACCAGGCTGGCCTCGAACTCGGCGTGCGCCACTGTGCTCGGCTTTGTGAATATTTCTTGAGACAGACTGTCACCTGGAGCCCAGTGAGTTGCCTGCCTGAGCTTCTGTTACGGGTCTGGGGTTGCTCAGACATTAGCCATGACCACGAATCAATTTTAATAAGAGGAGGCTTTTTATTTCTGGCACTGGACTGATTGGAGTCAGATCTGCACCTGAGGCTTATAAAGGCAAAAATCGTAAGAGCACATGTATTCTGTCTACATGTAGACAGGGTCTAATTTTGACATATATGTTTTGCAGGTGTTGTTTTTTTTTTTTGTTTTTGTTTTTGTTTTTTTGAGACAGGGTTTCTCCGTGTAGCCTTGACTGTTCTGGACTTGCTTTGTAGACCAGGCTGGCCTCAACTCACAGTGATCCACGGAGTCATCTTTAGAGCAGAGTAAACAAGTTTGGTTAGAAAAGCAGAAATGGCAGTTAGTTTATGACTGGTTTCATTTATTTATTTAATTATTTTGGTTTGATTTTTCAAGACAGGTTTTCTCCGTATCTATCCCTGGCTGTCCTGGCACGCACTCTGTAGACCAGGCTGGTCTCAGACTTGCAGGGATCCACCTGCCCCTGCCTCTGCCTCCCAAGCACTGGGATCAAAGTCGTGCCTCACCATGCCTGGCTATGACCCGCTGTGCGTTCTTGCTGGAACAGCAACATTTTCAAGATGGGTCAATTTAAGAAAACTCTTTGCTGGGCCACACCTCTAAACCCAGGGCTGTGGAGGCAGAGGCAGGTAGATCCCTGACCTTCACACCAGCCTATTTTGCAGAGCAAGTTAGGGACAGCCATGGCCACACAGAGATACCCTGTCTTGAAAAACAAACAAACAAAACAAACAATAATAGTCTTCAGTGTCTGGGGGAAAAGCAAAGTTCTAAGCCTGTACAAGCTAGGGCTTTACATGTTAGAGGCATGTTTTGCTTTTCTAAACTTGGAATGTTAAGTATCTCTCTTCCCAGGGTCTGGGTTACAGGAGCTTACACCCCCCCCCCCCCCCCCCAGCCGGCTTTGTTTTTTATTTCGGACAGACCAAGATGTAAACAGAGCAAGTGTCACGCTTTGGAAGGAAGGGTGCGCGCGCAGAGCAGTGGTGCCCAGTCTAGCCCAGCAGCTGCAAAGGCTGACGCAACCAGGAGCACCTTCCGTCCCCTGCCGGCCTGGGGTTCCTCATTCTTCAGCGTGACGCCTTGTTTGTTTTCATTTCAGGGACTCGGAGAGCAAACACGCCTTCCCCACGTGCTGCCCCGCCCAGAGGTGTTTCCAATAACCCTTAACCTTTGCTCAGGGATAACGTGCGTCCCCTGGGGACAACACGGCAGGAGCCTTCCTAGAAGGGGTGGTTTTGAAGCTGGGCGGAGAGTGTGGGGTCCGGGTAGACTGGTAACCTTGGTCTCCAGGGGACAGCCCTGCTTCCGAACCGTCCCCCAGGGTAGCCAGTGAGGAGGTGGACAGGAATGGAGGCGGCCCAGAAGCTCGGGCCAGGATGCCTGTGACGTGCGGAGGAGTCAGCGAGGTCAGGAATACTTTCCAGTAAGTGAGCAACACCGAACGCGCTGGCGTTTTGTTTATGTGCTAGCACGCAGAACAGCGCCCGTGAAGCACGCGGGCCGATGAATCCGGTCTCAGGGGTCAGTGTATCGTGGGCCCTGGCTCTCAGAGCTGCCCATGAAATGCTGGGCATGAGGGTTCAGCTTCGAGTGGACACTGCAGGGTCCAGCCACATGCTCACACGAAGCTTGCCCTCCCCATGGGCCTCAACACCGGATGAAGAGGCATCTTGTGCTCAGACACACTCTTACACGATGCTCATATTATTACGGAATTTACATCCATCTATCTATCTATCTATCTATCTATCTATCTATCTATCATCTATCTATTTATTTTTGACATGAAATCGTGCTGTGTAGCTCAGGCTGTCCTGAAAGTCCCCATCCTCCTGCCTCATCTACCTAAGGACTAGGGTAACAGGTCACCAAATGGAGCCTTTGCTTAACGTGGTTAGTCAAATCAGTTAATGGATTGGGCAGTATCTGTTCGCGCGCGCGCGCGTGTGTGTGTGTGTGTGGGGGGGTGAGAACAGTATATGGATGAGCCACAACGGGGCACAGGTCCGAGATAACCAGAACCTCACCTTGGCTCTTTTGAGACAGGGTCTAATGTAGCCCAGGCTGGTCTCAAAATCACCAAGTAGCCAAGGGTGACCCTGATATTCTGATCCTCCTGCCTCTGTCCACGGTCCTCAAATTGGGATTAGAGGCCAGCATGCAAACGGCTAATTTTAAAAAAGTTATATAGTCATACAGGGTCATGAAACAGAGTGCTGCGGAGGAGTCACCCTTTCCAGAAAGGGAAGTTTCTAGATTTTTGTGCTGCGCAGGGAGACGCGAGCTGGAGAGCAGGTTGGGGACACCAGGAACTCCTACGTCCCTGAGCACCAGACCTTTCTTCTGCAACCAAGGCAACATCCGGGACCAGTTAGTTTCGGCCCAGCGTTGCTAGGAGACGGTAGCTGCGAAGCCGCCACCTGTGCAAAGGCCCTGGCAGCGGGACGGCTGTTAAGGAGCCTCGTTAGCGCAGTAGGTAGCGCGTCAGTCTCATAATCTGAAGGTCGTGAGTTCGATCCTCACACGGGGCATCCTGCAGCTTTTTGCCTTTACCTGGATCCTCTGCCGCAAACGGGGTCAGTGGAGGGATTTGTGGGGAGGGTGTGGTCATGCCTAGGGCGGGGCTTTGCGGAGTTGAGCCCTGCCAACCTTTTCTTTTAGCGAGCGGCCCAACGCTCTGGGGCGGAACCTGGAAATAGGGTGTGGTGACATCCAAGGGCCAGGGCCGCGGAGGGGCGTGACCACACGCGGGGCGGGGCGGGGCCCCAGCTCATGGGGCGGGGCGAAGCCTCTGGGTGGGGCTTGAAGCGAGGTTGTGGGCAAGTCGAGGGGCGGGGCCTATCTCCCTCTCGGGGCGGGGCAAAGGTCCGCGGAGGGTCTGGAAGGGGGCCCTTGGGTCAGAGGGCGTGGTCACGTTCGGGGCGGAGCTTGAGGCTCCGGCAGGCGCGTCTCCGGCCGTCTCGCCGCCTGCGCAGTGCGCTGTGCGTGCGCGCTCGCGTGCGCGCGTCCGCGGTGGTGGCGGGCATGGCGGTGTGCGCTCGGCTCTGCGGCGTGGGCCCCGCGCGCGGGTGCCGCCGCCGCCAGCAGCGCCGCGGCCCTGCCGAGACGGCCGCGGCGGACAGCGAGGCGGACACTGACCCCGAGGAGGAGCGCATCGAGGCGGGGCCGGCGCGCTGCTCCCTGCTGGAGCTCCCGCCGGAGCTGCTGGTGGAGATCTTCGCCTCGCTGCCCGGCACCGACCTGCCCAGCCTGGCGCAGGTCTGCAGCAGGTTCCGCCGCATCCTGCACACGGACACCATCTGGAGACGGCGCTGCCGCGAGGGTGAGCGGGGGCATCCCATATCGCGGGCGCTCGGCCGAGGCAGGAGCGTGGTGCGGAGTTCCAAACCAGGCCAGGCTGCGGAGTGAGACTCCGAGAAAACCAGATAATCGAAAGGCCTGGTCTGCAGAGTGAGACTTAAAAATCCCAACCCCCACCAACAAATAAAGCCGAAACAACAGCAACAAAACAAACCAAAACCAAACCAAACCTACAGCCCACCTACCCACAAGAATGAGGACGCAAAAGCGGTCGGAGTCCCGTTAGGAAGGCCTCCCTTTCATGTCCACACAGCAGGGTACTCTCAGCCCGAGTATTGATGCGAGTCCTAGAGCCTCGCAGCTGAAGGGGTTCCGCTGCCGGCTTGCCACACCGGCTAGTCTCCTGCCGGAGGGCTTCAGCGGTTTCTGTCTCCTGGCCACAGCACTCTGAAGACATTTGTGCATTTGTAGAAATCCATTTACATCTACCTTCTGGATCCTCTGAGGGCCTGTGCTTCCCGGAGTGGGGTTTTGGGATGGTAGGCTGTGTGAGAAAAGCGATTTCCCCAGGTCCTCCCCTATAGAAGGGTCCTTTTACCTTTGCTGTGTAATTTCATGGTTGACACCAGAGTTCTGGCCTGGCTCCACTTACCCGCTGTGGGATGTTGGGCAGATTACCCAAGTCTGCGTGGGAGCATTTGGTGGTGCCCCTCCTGAGGGGTGACTTGGGGGCTTTTACCATGAGAAGCGTGCAGAGCCCTCATTCTTGAGCATGGCTGTGTGGCATGCCCGTTGGCCCATGTGAATTGTCATAGCTGTCTTTTGTCTTATTTTCTCTGGTGAGAATCCTCATTAGAAACCTTTAGTCACATAGGACCCGGTAAGTTTGTTTTCGGTTTCTCTCAGAGCACTGCCTTTTTTTTTTTTTTTTTTTACAAATAACTTCTTTTGTTTATTATTACTGTGTGCATGAAATGTGGATGTGTCAGAGGAGACCCTTGAATACGGTTCCTCACCCTTTGGCGACCGGCAGCCATGCAGTTACTTCGTTGCCGCTTCATAACTAATTTCGCCACTGTTATGAATCGTAATATAAATATCTGTTCTCCAGTAGTCTGGGGTGATCCCTGTGAGAGGGCGGTGCCCCACAGGTTGAGAACCTCTGCTCTTTGGGCTCCAGGGATGGAACTCAGGTTGCTGGCCTGTGCAGCAAGTGGCTTTACCTGCTGAGCTGACTGGCTTTTTACCTGATGTTTATTTAGCGTGTGTACCTGTGACACTCAGCTCCCGAACAGAAATGGACAGCGCCCCATTGCCAGTGTGGAGAGCAGTGGGGACAGGTTGGAAGGGTCTCCTCTACACTTGATCTTAGCCAAAAGGCCAAGAAATGAGGGGAGGGTCTCTTGTAGTCCTCTCTCCTACTGCTTCAGCTCTCAGGGACTCCAGAGCTTCGAATGGAGAGTGAACCAGTTCACCTACACCAGAATTCCAGTTTTGAGAAATTAAAGGCATGAGAACCAAAAGTCCCCAGAGTGTTGATGTTCTATGTGTGAGCCACCTCATCTAATATTTAAAAAAAAAAAAAAAAAAAGATTTTATTAGTTAGTGTGTGTGTGTGTGTGTGTGTGTAGAAGCCGAATGTGCTTCTAACTAACTGCTGAGCAGTCTCTGCAGCCTTACACCCAGCATTTTTTTTTTTTCTTTGTCTTTGATTTGTGGGGTCTGTTTTCTAGACAGGGTTTGTCTGTGTCGCCCTGCCTGTCCTGGACTCACTATAGATCAGGCCAGCCTCTAACTCACAGAGATCTGCCTGCCTCTGCCTCCTGAGTGCTGGGGTAACTGGCCTGTGCCACGGCACCCGGCTGATTTGTGGGTTTTAGTCAGGCAGTCTGGATGGATTTCTGTTTATGTTTCTTTCGTTGTCTCTTGTGTTAGTTACGACTTGAATTAAAAGTTTGTACTTTGGTGGTCTCTGGCACTCCAAGGTGCCAAGCTTGGCCTGTGGCTGTGCTGTCTGGGTTCCTGGCAGCCTTTTGTGAGACAGTCTCCCAATGTAGCCAAGGCTGGCCTTGAACTCTTTACTCTCCTGTTTCTACCACCTTTCACTGGCTCACAGCTGGCTCAGGGCACCCGGCTATTCAGGCAGGTGTACTGTAACCCATGCAGGTTAAGACAGGTTGCCTGGCAGGCCTGGGATTTGTGGCTGTCACTGAGGCAGTCTCTTTGTGCCTAACCCCTGGGAAATTGCTGTGTGTGAGACAGTCCTGCCCGGCCTTCTCTGAGCCCTGGGCATCTTCTTTCCTAGATTCCAAAATCAAGAAGATGTAGGTGAAAAGCAGCACCGGCCCCACCCCACGAGCAGGCCTGGATCCTCCTAGCACCTGGCTTCTCTGGCAGGGCTGTGATGTTGGCTCTGCTTGTGTTGTGTCCCAGGGAAGTGGGTGAGACTGGTTTAAGTGTTTATGTTTTTATTGCAGGGATTTGTGTGTGAGACTTGGGCCATGACTAACTGTCAGGCCATTTGCTTTAATAAGTTTGTAAGTGAGCTGTGGTGGCCAGGCTTGTAATCCAGCTTTCAGGAAGCTGAGGCAGAGGGATCAAAAATTCAAGGCCTGCTGGGTATAGACTGAGTTCACAGCTAGCTCTCGTCTCAGAAAGTAAACAGAGCCTAGGGTGCAGCCCAGAGGATGAACACCGGCCCAGCGTGTGTGAGTCCCTGGCTTCTATTCTTGTTACTGTTGAAAATGAAAACAAACAAAAATTAAAAAGCTGAACCGTGGCTTTCTGTAGGGGTCAGGTGTGGTGGTCTGGAGCTGGGGACGCTAAGAACCCAGAATGGTGTCATCGGCATATAGACTCCTGATAACTCAGAACCTTCTGTGTCCCATTAGTGACATAAGCAGTTGCTACCTTGGTCCCTCTGCTGTGGTGCCACACATGTCAGGATGTAGAGTGACCTGGGGCAGCTCAGAACTGTTGGAATCCTTTCCTGGGTCTTTCTCTGGGCAGGTCAGTGACTGCCTCCTGTTAAGCCAATTCTGTCCTGCCTCTAGAGCTAGTGCCATAGGTGGTAATGTTGTTCCCAGAGGGGAAGGACAGAACCTAGCACCCAGCCCCCGGGGCATAAACATTTTTTTTTTTTTTTTGATGTGTCACTCTGTTGGCCAAGGGCCACCTGCTTAGGTCATATGGGAAGGGTTGTCTGAGGGCAGGATCCTCAGTACCTGCCCCTGCCCGACAGTCCTCTGTGGTTAATGCTTCACCCAGATCTGGCGCTGGCCAGTCTTGATGCCTTGTGGCAGGATGTGCTCCCTGAGATCGAGCCTAGGGCTACTGAGTTTTGACATCTCAGGCCCTAATTCTGGATCACGGCAGCTCTGTGAGTAAAGCGCCCGCCGCCAAGCCTGGTGCCCTGAATTCAAGCCCTGCATCCCACCCAGAGACACTCCTGCAGGTGGTCCATGACACACAAGTATAAGAAAACATGACAGGATGGAATAAATGTAATAATTTCCTTAAGGTGTAATTCAAAACGAGGAGACAGTCACTGTTCGCTCTCCCCTTGGCACCTTGCAGGGACTGTGGGGCGGGGGCTGATTGCTGTTGTGATGACACCTGTAGTTCCTGGACAGTGCTGTGAGCGGGAGTCTACTGTGGGCTTGTCCATCATGCTGCTCACTGTCTGACCCTATGGTGGTGGAGAGGAGAGGCCAGTGCCCCGTCTACTCCCAGCGTGACTGTCAGCGTGAGACCCACAGCTCTGTCAGGTCGCTGCGCTTGGAGGCCATGTCTCAGGAGGATGTCTGATGTCCAGTGGATGTGCAGAGCCCACCTGTCCTGTGTAGAGGACCCAGTGGAGAATACAGGCTGTCCAGGAAACAGAGGGACAGGGCATATCCACATCCTGGAGGGGCAGAAGGCCAGGAGCTGAGAAGCGCCTCCCTTAGTCTCAGGCCTGCTGGGGAAGAGGTTTAGCTCCTGGGTTGTGTTTTATGCTCTTATTTTAGGTTGGTTTTCTCTCTCTCTTTTTTGAGGTAAGGTCATACTCTGTATAGCCCCAGGCTGTCTTCAAATTTGGCTAATTCCTCTTCCCTCAGCTTCCTGAGTATTGCGATTACAGGTGTGAGCCACTCTGCCTCGCTTCAGGTTTGGTTTTTTGTTTTGTCTTATTTTGTTTTTAATCCTTGTAGGGCAGGGTTGGGGAAGGGGGTGGGGGACAGAGGCTTGAGGTTGAGGATCGAAGGCCTTGTACCTGGTAGGTGAGTTTCTACCGTTGGGTTTGGCTGCACGGTGCTGGGGTCACAAGGCCTGTGCCAGCACATCAGGTTTAAATCTGTTTTACTTTTTGTGTGGTAGTCCAGGCTGGCTTTGAACGTCCCCTCCTGCCTCAGCCTTCTGAACTGGGATATAGCCCAGTTTAGGTGTTTAAAAGTTAACTTCCATATGCAACCTTGTGGCCTTTCCCTTGGCAGCAGAGGCGGGAGGAACGGGTGTGAGAGGTCTTTTAAGATTGCTGTGCCACAGACCCAGAGGCTGGATGGTGTGAGTCTGTCTCTGCAGGTGGAGAGGAAGGCTGGCCTCTCCACAGTGAGTGGGTGGGCAGAGCCGGGTCACAGGGCATCTGAGGAACTGGGTGTGTCTTCCTTCTGGGCAGAGTGTAAACACAGCATGTGGGTCTGTGTGGAGGAGACAGTCACCTCCTGAAACCCGCACACCCTCCCTCTCCCTTCAGTGACGCCTGGGCCTTATGAGTCATTGTCCTCTGGCAGATGCCCAACTGTCCCCAGTGACGAGGGAAGGGCTGACCAGGACTCATAAGCCTGGCACTGGTGTGAGGGAATGTCCTATGTCCTAAACCTACGAGGGGTCCAGGACAGCCTACTATTAAATTGAGACTGCAGGGGAGTGGGGGCTCTGCTGACATTGCCTCCCCTCCCCACCAAGGTGTCTTGGGGATGCCCAGAGGTACTCATCATGAGACAGAATGGGCTTCTTGAGACTGGAAGATTCTTGCCTTCCGCC